TAAGGATCTCCCTTCACTGCATTAGGAAGTCTTGGGAGAACTGTAATAGAACATTTGTAGAGGGGACCCTGTGGACTTCAATAGAAACATTGGCGTATTTTTAATGCAGTGTATCAAGTTAAAGTAAGCTTAACATCTCCTCTTCTAAACTCCTTTATCAGAGCAATTTTATTTCAATTCTGGACTGTAAGCTGGAGAAAGGCAGGGAAAAATTAAGCCATTGTAAATCCTGACCACTCTTTTAGTATTTACAGACATCTATGTAAGTTGCTGGCTTGAGCATTTCTCTGTCTGCTTGAGTTAGGAATCAGCAAAAGATCTGTGTTAATGGCATGCTTTTAGGAGCTACTGGAACTAATTTTATGTTATATAAGCTGAGATAGATACCATAAAGCTGAACTTCTGTGAAGGGTCTGAAATTATAGTGGTACTCATTTTCTCATCACCTGTGGATGCAGTGGCTTCTGACACCATCTATGCCCTGCATTTTTTCTCCATGGGTCACCACAGTTCACTGCTGATCTCTGGAACAAACGATGTGGAAAAGAAAGCAACTCACTCATTGGTGGCAGAATTTTTAGAAACTGAAATTTTAGTGCATTATATAGTTTCTAAACACTGGATGCTGTCTGTGGAAGACATGGGGTTGCTTCCTTGCATCCTAAATGCTGCACGTTCCCTGTAGCAGAGCTGCCTCACATCGTACCTACGCTGCTGGCTCCTTATCACAGTGCGGATGGAAGCAGCAGCAGTGGCTGGCAGCGCTGGTCCTAGTCTCAGCATGTGCTGCCTTTCTCCCTCATGCCTGCATGCATCTTCTCTCACACAGTGGTTGCTGTTTAGAATATCTTCTACTCAAATCTGAAATTGTGTTTTTCTAAGCCCAGAGCAGGAAATCCAAGTAGTGCTCCAATATTTGGACTAGTCATCTCCTCCATAATGTTTCTTATTTTTCCCTTTTCATTATACATTCTGGAGTCTCTACAAAGCTGAGTTATTTTCCTCCTCTGCATTGATGAGAAGGTGGATGTATTCCGTCTGCTCACCAGAGAAGCAAGATTTGGGGATTTTTTAAATTGTTATTTTATTTCTGTATCAGGGTAAGAGGACAGTTGGGCATTCCTAGGACTTTCTGTGGGATCTTTGTCCAGTCTCTTGTTAGGGCACTCTGGGCACCAGGTGCAGAACTGGGGGCTGATAATGGGGTCCATCAACAACCTCCAACATGGCAGATGATGAACCAGGGCCAGGGGCCATCCAGGGGGCTTCAACCAGGAGCAAAAGGGGATGAGACGGGGGACACAACTGGAGACAAGCTACAACATGCATTCCAAGGGTCCATCCAGGAAGCATGGCTGGAGACTGGCACTCCAGTGGTACCACGGGGGCAGGGACTGATGGCCCCAGGCTGAGCTGAAGTGGGGTCCTGGGCCATGGGCAGAGGTGTGGGGAGGCCCAAGATGGGGCTGGGCAGGGCCAGTAAGGCCTGTAAGTGCCCACAGGGCTCCTCTCCTATAACTCTGGGTAGCACTATGGCTGTAACCAGCAGCAGGACCCAGTGGTCACAGATCTGTCTTGTAAGTGCAAAATCTTGCATTTTATTCTTACTGCTGAACAGCATGCTGCTGCATGTTCATGAGCAGGTTTCTGTTTCTCCATCCATAAAAGCAGGACAACATGTCTCATTGTCAAGGTATAGGGCTTAGATGCTTACTGAAATTTTGCGTAATGAAAATGCTTTCATTACATTATGTAATGTCATTACCATTATTTGTTGCTGAAGGAATGTAAAACATCTTGAAGGAAATCTTGGTCCTATTGAGAGAGCAGAAAAATCTCCCTTGCTTTTCCTAGACAGAGATTTCAACTCTCATACCAACTGCATAAATCAACAAGGATCACTTTATGCTCTTGTCCTTGATTATGTGTCCTTGGAAGATGCCACATTGGCAAGTTTTTAGGCACATTAAATTTATGCATTAAAGCATTTTTCAAAATTCAACATTTGCATCGCTTTCAAAAGAAGAAAAACGTCATACACCCAACTGTGCACACATTTCTTCTCAGAGGAAGGGGTAAGCAAATAAATATATGATCTATTTCACTCGCACTGCTGACAGCACGGTTGAAAGGTGCTCAGAGATCATGAAGATCTCAAGAGAACAACGTGATAGAACAGAAAAGTAATGCACTAAAGAGCATTAGAGAGATTCCTACTGACCACAGCAGACTTCAGATCAGACAAACACAATCTGTGTCTTATAAGGAGACTTAAAGGCAATGCTGACAAACACATAATCTGAATCTGGACATATCCATATGGAGAGAGTGCCTAGGTCAATATTTTATGAGTCTTCATGACTATATCTGTACAAAAGATTAAACTTGTATGTCTTTAAAATAGCAACACTATATACATTTATAGTTTCTGGTTGCTTGGCTATTTTGAGTACTCCTCTTAAGTAACGTATTTATTGCTGGCATATGTCCTCTAACTTTCCACAAAGGAGTATAAAGCAAGAACTGGATTGCAATATAAAGTTATACGTAATGTTAAAAATTAGTAGGATTTGTAGAATGTGACTTTGAATCTTGACAGTCATCTGATCTGTCTTCAAAGCAAAGCCAATACCATCTATGGCTACATTTCCAACAAAAAGCTATTTAACTGTTCTATGAAAAAACGCAGCAATGAAGATATCTAAATCCTTATCTAACAATCTTTTCTGCTGTCCGATTGTTCTTATTGTTTAGCAATCTGCCTAACCTAAATTTCCTTTTGCTGTAATTTAAATCTGTAACTTTACTCATCTCCCAGCGGATCTGGAGAAAAGTCTATTGTCTCCTTCTTTTCCTTGCCTTTGGCACACAAAAGACTGAGAGCATCTCCCTCCACCTTCTCCTTACTAAGCAACCCCATTTTTTTCCCTGTCCGTCACACTTTCCAGATGTCTGATCACCCTCTGTTCTGTTGTGGGATCCTCCACAGGTATTTTCTCGGTAAGTTTTAGGACTTCGAACTGGACCGTTTCTGCAGAGGCCCTCTGGAGGGCAAGTGGGAGGATGACTTGTGCATCTAATACCCAGATTTCTGCAGTACTGCCCACCACCATGTAGCTACAAAGATGAGCTCATGGGGTGGCACTGAGTCACATTCAGTTTGTTCATTGCCATACCCGGACTCCTTTCTGAGAAATTGTTACCTACTCTGTTATTTCTCCTCTTGTTCTTCTGCAGTTTGTCACAATTGTGATGCTCTATGCTTGTTGGTACTGAACTGTGGTCTATTGTCTGAATTCTACCACAGCTGGGCAAAATCTTTTTAATCTTATCTCCTAAAGTGCTTACAGCTTGGCATTGTCTGCAAATTAAAGAAAGGTACAAGTCACAAGTGACTTGAAATACCAAAACTTTCAACGATACTGGAAAACCATGATCAATATATCTTCCATGCTGTCTGTGAATCCTTGACAACTGTTATTTCATTACAATTATCCATCTGGCTGTCCACTCACCTTCCTGCGCTTTCAACCAAACTAGGTTTTCCTAGCTCATTTATGAGAATCTCATAATGTCAAAGGGCTTCCTGAGATGCAAAGAGATGATATCTACTGCTTTTTCCCTGTCCACAAGGCCTCTTAGTCTGTCAGAGAAGGACAATAAGATGAATTCATTACAGTTAGTCCTTAACAAGCCCATGGGGATTGCTGGTTATGACCGTACAAATTTGAAGTGCTAGTGGGGAGACTTCTTGATTGTCTGTTCTTTATTTTATTCTTAAATCTCACAATCTAGCTAGAAAATCTTCACATGGTCTTCCTTCTTTGAAAAGGCATAGACCGTGCTTGCTCTTTCCCCATCTTGTGAACTTAATCTATTCTCAACAGTTTTTCAAAGATCATTGCTAACAGATCTGGTATCAGCTAAACTTGATGGAATCTGCCTATCAAAAAACGCTTATAGTAGCCTGTGTTCCTCACCTTTTTGTTGCTCTTACTAACTTGTGACCAGATTAGGATGACTTCAAAGCGAGAACCAAAGAAATAAAAATCCATCTTTCCCAGCATACTCTATTATTGGCTTTCTTTTCTCCTTTTTCCTGTTCATTTGTTATCTTCCTAGTTCTGTAGAATAGTCTTTTAGCCTGGCTGTATTATTTCATGCTGAGCAATCTTCTTTTCTGCAATTAGCCCTCTTCACTTCAAAGTGATATGAGCATTTTGTTCAGATTTGTTTTAAAATATAGCTCTTGGCTACCTCTGCGTTCCTCTCATAGCTGATACTTGACAATCTGCTTCTACTGAATCACTTGATACTGTATTCTAGTGTTTAATTCCCGTATTGCATTTCATAGCCGAGGCCTCAGTGTATGTGAATGTCCCTCTGTGCCGTATGACACATATGAATGTGGGCATCAGACATTGGGCTCACATTGCCACCTATGCCCATCCCCTCAAGGCCTCCTGATTTAGCAGCTCATGTGAATCAGCTCATCACTCGCGGCCTCTTAAAATTCAGCCTTTTCCAACAAATCAGCTCTTCTTTGATCATCTAGCGATTTCACAGGGCCTGTCCCCAGTTCCAGCTCTGCCATAATAATAATCCTTGACTATCGCACTCATTTTTAATAATCTCAAAATTATTGTTTTTAATTGATTTTAGTTTTTGCAACAGAACAAATGGAAGGGGATGTGCTAACAAGATTTTTATACTCTGAAAGAGCAGTGCTAACTTTTCCGATGGTATGGGAGAGGGTCGGAACGAAAAGGGGTAATCTACGGGTTTTTTTTCCATTTTCCTACCGCCTCTTGGGGAAGAAATGGGTCCTGTTTACACACACCCAGAGAAACCAAGTGCAGTGTTAGGTAAACACTACAGTTGTACGGTTGGAAAACAGCCTCTGCCATAGTTGGCATGGACTGTGGTGGATATATGCTGCTCAGAGATTTTTCATGGATTGCTTTCACAGCCTGACCCTTTCCCCTTTTTCCTCTCTGTAGATTATCAATTCGGTGGTATTGCTGATTCTGCTGAGCGCCCTGACTGATCCTGACCAGTACCACCTGACCAGTGCTGAATTAGGCGGTGAATTTGAATTTATGGATGATGCCAGTAAGTACAAACTGCCTAAATACTAGTAATCATTGCTCCAGCATTTATGTAACTGTGCTATTATTTCAATAATTACTGTCCTTTAATTATTGCTTCACCTTGGTATATTACAAATGCATTATTATTGTGAAAGGTGTATTCATGGCACAGTTCAAACTGGTCACCTAGTGGTAACCTTATCTGCCACCTATTGGTAATCCATCTGCTCTGCTATGTCCTGGCTTGGCAGGGGCAGAGCCAACCCTAGGCGAGGAGATGTTATCCCTGACCATGACGCTGAAAGCCCTAGGGGATTTTGCAAGACACAGGGAGATAAGGAGTCTCTGCACCTCCCAGATCATGTCCCATAGTGCTTGCACATGCATAAGAACCCATACTGCTGTTTATGTAACTGGCTGAATGTGTTTGTTCATGTTGTACATATTTACACACCCCTCGTGCATGTGGCGCGAGTTGCACAAACCTGTTGTAATAGATGCAGGTATAAATATCAACTGTATATTCATCAGTGTATTAAGGATAACACAGGGCTGCTTCCTTCTCTCACCAAAGGGCAACATAGAAAATTTTCAGTACAGTTGGTTCAATGGAAGGGTGAGCCAGGCCATGTATGTCTCCTGCAAAAGCCTCCTGTCCTTGGCAAATGTTTCTTTCTTCCACAACTGTTTCAAATTCTTTGGTGATGTTTGGTTTGTTGATTTGCTTTAGCTGTTTAATTCGTATCTAAACAGTTTTCCCTCAATGCAACTTTGATAAAAGCACCTGTTTATTTTCGTTTCTGCTCACAAGATTGTTACATTCAACATTTCTCACAGTAATCTGAAACAAGGTCTCCTGCTAGTTACACTGGTGTCTTGCTGCTCAGAATCACACCCATCCATAGCAAAAGCCTCTAAGTCCTTTCCTCGTTCCTACTGAAGTCAATAAAAATATAAGTAGGAAAAGGAACAGCCCGACATGTGAGAAAAATAATTGCACCCATGCTGTGTCAGAGCTGTTGGGTATCAGTTAAGGGATGCTTATTTCCAGAAGGTCTTTAGTGCAGATATGCCTTGAGGGTCTACATTTAATTAATAATAAGGGGCAATTGCTACTTTATTGTGTCTTCATTGAAAAACCACCTACAACTTCCGACTAAAAATCTTCTTATATAACTGGATTTAAGAAAGTAAGGACCATAGTAGATACAGATGGGCTCCTGGCTGATTCTGACATATTAAAACTGACTGCCTTGTCCTAATTCTCAGAGATTAACCTTGGTAATGACTGTCTGTCAGTGTGGTTTTATATAGCCAACATCAGAGGCCTGCCAGTGCCCAGGGCTCTAAAATAGTAATTCTGTTTTGTAATGCAATAGCTGTCAGATCAAGTACATTAGGGATTTCCATCTACACTTGAAAATTGTATTTTCTGTTTTTTTTTTCTGTCGGGGCTTCTGAAGTGAACCCTGCAAGACTGTAAAAGGATGGCTTGTGGGCCAAGCGACCTCATTTCTATTCAGTAAAGGGAACGTTTCACAGGCAGTTAAGTTACGAATGAACATTTGAATTAATGTCTCCTTTTATTCTTTGACTCCCTTCAGTTTAATGCCTTACTGAGTAAAGGCAGCTGAATCAGGCTTTTATAGTTACTGGAAATAGCTGGCAGGAGATAATTTTTTTCCTTTTTTCTTTAAGTATGACTGTATTTGTTCAAATCTGAGGAAATGTTTTCTTATGAGATAAAACACCAGGCAAAATTCCATGTGCTCTTCTCTTGTCCTACTTTTATTTGACTTTCTTGAAGAAATGTTTTCCAGGTTAGCTGAATGTTCTGAAATTCTTAGATGTGAAACTATGTGTATGAGATACAGGAACATACATCAATTTTTATGCTAATGAAGGTCCCAAAGTTGTTATCTATACGGACTTGTGTTGGCAAATAATAATGACGGAAATACTAGTAGCCATTATTCCCATTACTACTTTTGGTGCTCCTATCAATAGCAAACGAACAAAACTAAAATGCAGACACAGAGTTTACATGTAAAATTGCCACTTCCTTTCCCTCCCTCCTCAAATATGCTCCATCATAAAAGATCTGAAAATATCAGCTGGAAATAAATGTATCCGCTGAGTCACAGTAGCAGAATCATGGCTAACCTGAAGTTAGTGACTGATTTTTCTTGTCTTTCAAGAAATGAGGATTCCCCCAGTATTTGTATTCGTATTCATATTTATTTCTGGCTGTGCTCAGGACTGGTGTATGGAGAATATTCAATTTTCTGTTCCAGCAGCGGGAAAAATTCCTGCCACATGCAGAGCCAGAGCCAGTCTAGTGCAAACTGCTTTAAAATGCCAGTGCAGCATCAATTCTTCTGCGAAAAGCTGCTCAGCCTTAATTTCAGGATTTAGCATGGTTCCCAGAGACTCCAAAATGCCTGTTTGATTAAGCAGAGAAAGGATTTACCTCAGCACTTAGAAAAAGCTGTAGGTTGTAGCTTTTCCTTTCTATTCTAGAAAAGGAAACAAGGGGGAAAAGAAGTCTGCCAAGACTTGCCATGTGGCAGATGGAGGTACTGGAAGACACCAGTGTGTGTGGTTTGGCTGGCTCCCTGAGATGTACATCTGGGAGCTGGGGAAAATGCTGGGCTTCCTCCTGTGCTGGATATTCAGCTGAGCCCATTAAGTCTCATCTTTCTTTTTATTATTTCCTTAGGGCCTGAGGGAGTTTATGAACTAGAAGCTGGACTAGGAAAAATTAGAAACGTGTGAGCTGCCCAATGTAATACTGCTGCTGTTAAAAGACTACTAATCTCTGGGCAAGGGGTGGAAAATCCCTATAAATCATTTTGACTTCCCAGAGGGTTTTACCTGAGCCTCCTGCTCAGCTTCTTCAGATACACAGACCATGATCCTGACATGTCAACAGCCCAAACAAGCAGCAAGTGTTGCCTGGGTTTATTTACTGCCTTCACAGTGTCACAGATGTGTGTGATATTTTACCAGCTGTATGACAACAAGGACTGAAATCCTATGTGTGCCCTATAGAAACTGAGGGGAACTTTTGACACCAATGTCAACAACTCGGGCTCAAATCCATCTGTGTCCCTGCTCTGGGACGGGCAGACAAGACAAGCAGAGTTCTCTGGGCAGGGCAGAATAAGTGATGGTCTCTGCTGAACGTGACATGCATCCAGGGCTTAAAGAGATTAATTCAAATAGAAAAATTTTAATAGAAAAACCTACAGACAGCAAGCTTGGAATTCTGTTGGGGAGCTAAATGGAAGTAGTAGCATAAGTACCCTTCCTGCCCAAATCCATCAACACTACACATGTAGCATAAGCCCCATGTCACAGGGAGGGGGAAAAAACTAGTTCCCTGCTCCAGCATAACACATTCAGGGCTGCATCTTCCCCTCTAGCGTTATTCTCTGGAGCAAATGAGCTGGGCTTAAAGGTGCAGGAAACTCTTTCCTTCTCATTGGCTTTCTTCCTTTGCCAGAGAGAAAATGCCACTGCCACACGGAGGTGACCCAGGAGGCTGGCATGGCAGCAGCGGCACCGAACTTGCACAAGCAGCTTGGAGGAGAGAGTGAGGCAGTAATCCTTAGCTAGCAGTAAGGAGGCCAGGCTGCTGGATAAATAAGGCTAGGAGGGTGCATGAGCAGACCTGCCTGAGGATTGCAGGCTGCTGATCAGTAGCTTTCTAGCCCTTGTTGTCGGAGCTGTGAGCCAGTAATTAACTCCAGGGCTGGGGCAGGTGATGAGCTGGAGGATTTGAGGTCTCCATCACTCCACACAGGTCCTGGCTCAGGAAGTGGCCGCACTGGCTGCTCCTCCCTGACCCCACAGCACTCTCCACCAGCCTTCTCTGCAAGAGGAGGGGAAGGCAAGGAAATGCTTGTGAGGTGAGTTCAAGGGAGCTCCAGCTGCAGAGCTTGCCGTGCACACAAGCACCCCACAGCAGAA